TCAGGCTCATGACCCACATCCCAGCGAGAGACAATACCCTCAGGCTCGTGACCCAAATCCCAGCAAGAGACAATACCCTCAGGCTCATGACCCAAATCCCAGCGAGAGGCAGTACGTGCCTTGCTCTTACGCTGTTGAGTTTGTGACAGTCTGCCTTTCTTCCTTATCTAGAATGCCGAGCTGTTAGTGCGAGTCAAGCACCTGGAAACGTGTGAATGCAGAAAGTCCATGTGCTCATGGCAGGGGCGAGAGTATGAAGAGGGTCAGTCATGGGAGCAGGATCGCTGTAGCACCTGTACCTGCACTAAAGGCGAGGTACATTGTTCCAGGCGGGATGACAGTGCAGTCTGTCAGGGTGAGTACTGCACACTGCTCTGGGATGAAAGGAGGAACAAGTACATTGAACACACATTGTCTTCCAGTGAATGGTGTTCATTAACATTGCAGTGTTATGACTGATGAAGGAATGTGCTGATAACCAGCCCCACTGCTCCTCAAAGCATCCCATTTGTGACAGTGTTTTGATTCAAACACCAGAATAACCAAGTTGTTTCCCTTTTTTGCTGCTATCCAGAATGAAAGAGATTTTCACCAGATTCATTTAATAAACTCAAAGATAATTTGATTCTTACATGAAAAATGTTCTTTAAACAAGTGGAAAAATTGTTTGACAAGTTATGTATATTCTAGAATTAAACTTAATCCCAAATGAATACCTTCACACAACCATCGTGATAATATATCTATTTTTGTTTTGCAACTTAATAGTCTCCTCAACTTTCTTGGTTAACCATGGTTGGTTTATCCCTCTCTTAGAATCTTTCCTCCTTACTAGACTAGATTTTTGCTGAGAGTCAAGAATTACCCCTTTAAACATTTGCCACTGCTTGCTTACTGTCATTCCTGCTAATCTACCCACTCAATTCATACCTACCCAGTTCACTTTAGCTAGCTCTGTCCTCATATCATTGTAATTCCCTTTATTTAAGTTAAACTCAGTTGTTTCCAACCTAAGTTTCTCATTCCAAAACTGAATGTTAAATTTATTATATTATGATCACTGTTTCCTCAGAGGTCATTTATTAATCCTGTCTTGTTACCTATTGCCAGATTCAGGATAGTGTGTTCCCTGGTTGGCTGTATGATAATTTGATTTAGGAGACTATCCCTAATGTACACTATGAGTTTGTTGTCATGGCTACCCTTTCCAATTTGATTGACCCAATCAATATGAAGATTAAAGTCACCCATAATTAGTGTTTTTTTTTTTACGTTCTCCTATTATTTGCTGATTAATACCCGTTTCTACAGTGTGGCTACTGTTGGGGGTCTATACATTATTCCTACCAATGTCTTCTTTCCCTTGTCATTTTTTACCTGCACCCAAATAGATTCTACATCATCCGAATCCAGATCGTATCTCTCAACTGTCCTTATTTCAGCTCTTATTAACGGTGTTACCCAACCACAATTTCCAACCCTCCTGTCTCTTTAAAAGATCAAATATCACTAAATATTAGGTTCTCAGTTTTGACCTCCTCTTAACCATGTTTCTGTAATGGCTGTGAGATCATATTCATTTATCTCGATTTGCACCATTAGCTTTCTACCTTATTCTGAAAGTTTTGTGCATTAAGATACAAAGCCTTTAAGTTTGTTCTATTATTGACTTTCCCTACACTTTTATGATTCCTTGGTACGATATGACATTCATACATTCTGCACCTTCCCTTTATTTTCTGGTAACAATCAGTCCCACCGCTAACCTGCAGCCTACCTTCTCTTTTACCTTTGATTTTCTAATTTTCCATGCAACTGAACCTATCTCCCAACTGTATAGTTTAAAGCCCCAGCTACAGCTGTAATTCTGCAATTTACCAGGACTTTAGTCCCAGTAAAAATCTGGTGGAGCCAGTCCCATCAGAATAGCTCTGTCATTCCCCAATATTCCATGAATTCAAACCCAGTTCTCTCACACCAATCTTTGAGCCACACGTTTACCCCTTTAATCTTGTTGACCTTGTGTCAATTTGCATGTGGGTCAGGTAGTAAGCTAGAGATCATTACCTATATGGTTCTACTTTTAAATTTAGCCCCTAGCTGCTCATATTCTGTCAGCAGAACCTCTTTCCTTTTTCTACTTATATCATTGGTATCTACATGGACCACGACAACTGGATCTTTCCCCTCCCACTCCAAGTTCCTCTGCAGCCCAGATGAGATATCCTGAACCCCGGGCACCAGGCAGGCAACACAGCCTTAGGGACTCTGAATCGTGGCCACAGAGAACAGTGTCTATTCTGATCATACCATCTCCATTTTATACCTACATTCCTCTTTTCTACCCTTCTTGAATGGTTCCCTGTACCATAGTGCTATGGTCAGTTTGCTCATCCTCCCCAGCTACACTCTTGTCCACACAGGGAGGAAGAATCTCAAACCTGTTAGACAAGCTCAAGGGCTGAGGCTCCTTCAGCACTACCTCTTGGACCCCTCTCCCTGCCTCGCTGATAGTCACACCCTCCTGTCCCTCACCACTGACCGAATTGAAGGTAGTTAATCCAAGGGGTGTGACTGCCTCCTGAAACCCAGCTTCCTGGTAATTCTCCCCCTCCCTGATGTATCGCAATGTTCGAAGCTCAGACTCCAGTTCATCAACTCTGAACCGGAGTTCCTCAAGCAACCAACACTTCCTATAGATGTGTCATTATGAACTGCAATGGGATTCACCAGCTCCCACATCATGCAAGTACAACACATAATCAAACATTTTACAGTTTCAAGGAACTTTATTCTACTTGTTGCTTCTCTATGTTTTGTATTATAGGGCGAAGAGGATCATACATAATAATCCCAGTATTGTCTAAGTAATGTTTGCTACAAGTTTACTCATAACACTGTACTTCTAATTCACTACCTCAAGAAATAAAATCATTTGAACAATAACTATCAGCTGTGGCTCACTGGTAGCAAATCCAATCAAAGTTATGGTCTCAAGTCTCACTCCATAGACCTGAGACCATGATGTAGACCGAATGACACTGCAATGCTATCGAAGGAGCTGTGTTGTCAATTGGTAGAGTACTGAGGGAGTGCAGGATTGGCAGAGGGGCGGTACTGAGGGAGTGCAGGATTGGCAGAGGGGCAGTACTGAGGGATTGCAGGATTGGCAGAGGAGCGGCACTGAGGGAGTGCAGTATTGGCAG